GTCAGCGATCAAATTTTTACCCTATCGAGTAGACAAATTGTGACTATTTTTCTCAAATTGTATATTTTGATCGTAGTTGAAAAGTAAAATATGGGCAATCGAACTAGCAATTCTACGATATTTGACGAGATTGAATCTATACGCAAAAAGGGCGTGAAATATCATGGCGAAGGCAATTATGAAGACGCATTATTTTATTTTCAAAAAGCTGTAACTCAAATCAAATCGATAGCGGAGAGTAGTGATTGTCGTCGTCAACTTGAATATTCTATTTATCTCGCTATGGCTCAATCTTACCTGGAAAAATATCAATTGATAGAAGCCAATGAATACAGTGGAAAAGCAGAAAAGTTAGCTAAGAAACTAGAAGAGGTCAAGATTTCTTATTGTTTCGATATCCAGGGCGACTGTAAACGACTTCAAAGTGATTTTATGGGTGCTTTGAGTGATTACAACAAATCACTTCAAATAAAATTAAAATCGTTAGGGAGTGAACATCTTGATGTCTGTAAGTCCTATCAGAAGGTCGGCTTGGTCTACCACAATCAAGGCAAGCATGACGAGGCATTAAAAGAATACAATAAATCATTAAGGATTAAACTGAAAATTCTTGAAAATAATGATCCAAGTATTGCTGTATTATATGACAGCATTGGACAAGTCTATCAAGACCTAGGCAAGTATGATGACGCTCTATCAATGCATAACAAGTCACTCAAGATTAACCTAACACAACTTGGCGACAATCATCCAAGTATTGCTACAACATATAACAACATTGGTCTTGTCTATGATAATCAAGGCAAGTATGATGACGCTCTATCAATGTATAACAAGTCACTCAAGATTAAACTGACACAACTTGGCGACAATCATCCAAGTATTGCTGATACATATAACAACATTGCAAATGTCTATAATCATCAAGGCAAGTATGATGACGCTCTATCAATGTATAACAAGTCACTCAACATTAATCTGACACAACTTGGCGACAATCATCCGAGTATTGCTGATACATATAACAACATTGCAAATGTCTATCATAATCAAGGCAAGTATGATGACGCTCTATCAATGTATAACAAGTCACTCAAGATTAACCTAACACAACTTGGCGACAATCATCCAAGTATTGCTGATACATATCACAACATTGCAAGTGTCTATAATCGTCAAGGCAAGTATGATGACGCTCTATCAATGTATAACAAGTCACTCAAGATTACACAAACACAACTTGGCGACAATCATCCAAGTATTGCTGTAACATATAACAACATTGCAAGTGTCTATTATCATCAAGGCAAGTATGATGACGCTCTATCAATGTATAACAAGTCACTCAACATTAATCTGAGACAACTTGGCGACAATCATCCAAGTATTGCTATAACATATAGCAACATTGGTCGTGTCTATAGTAATCAAAGCAAGCATAAAGAAGCTATTTCTATGTATAAGCAATCCCTTAAGATTCAATTATCAGTTTTGGGTCGCAATCATCCTGATGTGGCAAAGTCGTATAGCGGTCTAGGAAATGTATATCTTGCTGAAGGCAAGCATGAAGAAGCTATTTCTATGTACGAGCAATCCTATAACATTCTATTATCAGTTTTGGGTCACAACCATCCTGATGTCGCAAAGTCATATAACAATCTAAGAAATGTCTATCAAGCTGAAGGTAAGCGTGAAGAAGCTATTTCTACGAATGAGAAATCACTCAAAGAGAAACAAGAGGAACAAGAGAAGCAAGAAAAGCAAGAGGAGAAACAAGAGGAGCATGAGAAGCAAGAAGAGCAAGAGGAGAAGCAAGAGAAACAAGGGGAAAATAGGGAGCAAGAGGAAAAAGAGAAGCAAAAGGAGCTAGAGGAGCAAGAGAAGCGAGAAAAGCAAGAGAAGAAACAAGAGAAGCAAGAGAAGCAAGAAGAGCAAGGGGAAAAAAGGCATCAAGAGGAGCTAGAAGAGAAAGAGAAGCAAGAAAAGCAAGAGAAACACGAGAAGCAAGAAGAGGAAGATGAGTTAGCAGGTACCATTGAGCGCTTTGTAAGGTGTTTGATTAGATATTTGCTTTAGGTATTCTGCTTTTCATTATAATTACAGCACTAACAGCACACTACGACACCATACTGAAGTATTGCAGTCGGTAAACAACATGTCCACCAAGTATTTCTTAAAGTATAGGCGTTTCAACCCTGTTCAATTCTAAGTCGGTCTATTAGTCTAATAAGATCGAATAGATCGCGAAAATCGTTCAATGACAAACCTATTGTAATAGTAGTGTATAGTACAGCCCCAATATAACTTAAGCATGA